TGAGGTTACAGGGATTTCAACAACTTCGTTTAAAGTCGGAATTTCATGGTCGCAATATTCAAGTTTTTGGTAAATATAATTGCCATTGGGTCGTATTTTGGCTGACTTGATTCATACAAATTGTAAGTCCTTTTTTATATTGATTTGACTACGGAAAGTTCCGTCCACAGGGTGTGACCGGTCAACCGGGATGTTTACTCCTCCAAAGCACTTGTTCCTACCTCTTGAATTTCTAGAGGTCCATGTTTTTTTCTCTTGTTTCCAAAATCAACATCATCAAACATTACGACTTTTTAACTTTATAGAAAACCATTCCTCATGATAAATTATAGTCTTGGCTTTCTGACATCATTGACAGCAGACTCTTTCAATAAAAATGGAACCCATTAATTTACGTATCTTGTCATTCGTCATATCCAAAAATATCTATGTGGTTTTTGGATACCATTTTTTTCAACAATATATTGTAATTCATATAGGTCACAATGTGTCAACAGACCTATTTCTATATTCATTTGAAGCAGAATTTGCTTAAAATCTTGTACGATATAAAAGAAAAAAACCACTTGGCTTTCAACTCGACATTAGACGACGTGTTGTCTAAATGCTGACTGACTTTTTTCAAACTCATTGTCAGGCCATTAGTTACACATTGAGTTGTCCACGGATTTTTCCTTTTTCCCCCGAATACGACAAGGAGCACACGGTGGGTGTGACTGGTCGGCAGATGATACTCAATTCTCCCAGGGACCTGATCCAAACTGTGATGTTTTGGAGGTCCCTGTTTGCTTCGAAACTATTTTGTATTGTTTGATAGACTTTTGAGCTCGAATACGGTTCATTAACTCCACATATTTCTCTTTATTGTAATTTAAAGGTTATTTCCATTCATAAGTCGACAAGATATATCCAGGTGAGCTTGAAATGAAAGAAACAACAGAATTTGATTTATCGTTTCATATTTGGATATTTTACTTGAAAAACAAAAGCCGTTAATTGTAATATAACAACTAAGCTGTATTATAAAGGTGATGACTTTTAACTTTTTAATCATCAACGTCCCTTACTTCCGAAGACATATACGTACACTTAACATCTGCCTACGGTGCTTATATTTCTCAGCTGATTCGATACTCGAGACCATGCTCTACGTATGTACAATTTCTAAAACGAGGTAAATTAATGACAAACAAGTTGATGAAACAAGAATATCAACAGTCTCGTTTAAAGTCATCATATTTTGAGTATCATGATTGATGCAATGACCTTGTCGGCAAATACAATGTATCACTAAGTAACAAAATGACTGATGTTTTTCTTACTGATTGTAAGGTTATCATTACATTCACAATGAACTGTCGACGGATTTTCCCGTTATTTCCCTATTATGACAAGGAGCACACGGCGGATGTGACCGGTCGGCAGGGGATGCTCTTTCCTCCATGACACTTGATTCAATCTTTAATGTTTTAGAGGTACGTGTATTTTCTGCTCCTTATTTGTATCTGGAGTTAAAAAGTAAGAATCATTAGCACTATTCAATGCATTAAAGATTATATTTATTCTACTTCTAATATTATTTCGGAAGAGGCAATGAGATATATTTTCTCTCTTATCTTCATATTTATATTTTACAGATAAGTTGGATTATAATCAAAATAGTCATTTATTAAGAAAAAAAAACCACAAGCAATTGCAGGAATTTAAAAAAAAAATAGCAAGCAATTATGACTTAGCAAGAGACATAAAATTCCAAAACTGAACTAATAAAGAACTTTCATTGTTTTCAGTTCTTTGTTTGGTGTCGGCCAACGAGGGAAGCTTATTCCTCATAGACACCTGATTCCCTTTCAGAAATTTGCAGGGATATGTCCAGTTCACAGATGTGTATTCTTCATAGATTTCTTTGAGTTGTTCACTGTTGATTATCTTCTCTTTTTCATTTGAAATTATTTTGAAGCGTCTTTTATTTTTGTACAGTAGAGACGCTACTAGTATTCTATGTTACAGATTGTATAACAAGTAGCCACTGGTCTCCAGAGTATTATTCGCGTGCGGAAAATATACGCAAGTTCTGCGACCTATTTTAAATCGCGAGTAAATCGACGCAAACCAATCATTTTGCTTAGTATTTGTAGAGAAAGGTTTCCTCTGTCGTAAAAATTAATCGTCGCGGATTTATCTCCAACCGATATTTCGCGAATAAAAGATGAGGCGAATAACAGTTGATTTACAGTTATACACCAAAATTATTTTATGTTTAAAATGTGTTTGAAATAACTGTATGTGACTTTACACAATTGCTGGATGAGATTATTATCTTCTTTTATTCTTAAAATGGAACATTTGAATAATGCACAATTATTTTTTTTATTGACGTTCAGCGAGTCATGACATAAATGGCTGTGCCGCAAGAAAAAGTAAAGCGCATTAGTTAATTGTAAGCGCTCTTGTTCGAGTTATGGCACTTTGAACGTTTCACTCGATGTAAAATTCCCATCTTTTAGTTTCATTTTAAATTGATAAAATATTATTTCTTTTAAGTGGTGTATATCAAAACTGTTTAAATAAAATACACAGCACTTGAACTGCTAAACGAAATATTTGGTGATAATGAAACAGTACTTAAGCTCAAAAGTCCATTCAACAAAACAAATCAAGAGCAATACAAACACAGTCCTCTAGAATATCAGAAGTGGGATGAGGTGCAGTTGAGGGGTTGTAAGCATCCCTTTGCGACAGGTCACATCCACCATATGCTCCATGTGATAACAGGGTAATCGTCAAAATTTTATGATACATTGCCTTCGCTGACAAGGTCATTGTAGCGACCATAGAACTTGCGAAGCTGTTGATATTCCTGTTCCAATTACCTGTGTATTGGTAACCTATCTTGTTTTAAAAATGACTGCTCTTGCATATCGATACTGCATATGCAGATGATTAGGGTATTTTGCTACACATTTTGGAGTTTACATGAGTATGGAAAGTTGGCGATTGAAAAGTTGAAATATTACGTTAATCATAAAACTTTATTTTTAGATTAACACTGAATTGAAGGAACAGCGTTACTGTTAAATATGAGCAAGATTTTTTTTTGCTTAAGACGATATATATGCAGAGCCCTCAAAGTTTCTACACGAAATCATACCTAAATGAACGATATGGAGATATCGAACAGTATTCAATATCAAAGTCCATAAAACAATACAAAAAAGGAGCAGAGCAAACACGGACCTCTAAACATCAGAGGTGGGATCAGGTGCCATGGAGGATAGAGCATCCCCTACCGACCGGTCACACCCGCCGTGGGCTCCTTGTCATGATCGAGAAATAACGGGAAAATCCGTCGTCAATTCAGTGTATAAATAATGGACTATCAATTAGTTTGAAAAACGTCAGTCAGCATTTGACTCAATGATAAATTGTATTTGCTGACAAGGTCATTGTATAGATCAAAAAACTTACGAAATGATGACTTTGAACGAGACTGCTGATATTCTTGTTCCATCAATTTGTTTGTCAATAATTTACCTCCTTTTTAGAAATTGTTTATAAGTAGAGTATGCTCTTGCGTATCGAATCAACTGAGTTATGTAAACGCCGTATGCAGGTGATGAAGGCACTAGAAAAGTTATATCATCACGTTTATCATAGAGATCCGTTGTTAGATTACCATTAACATCTTTTTAAGTAAAATATCCAGTTTGAAACAGATGTGTCAGATTCTGTGCAATATTTTATCTAAAGCTCACCAGGATATATCATATCGACATAGGAATGGAAATAACCATTGTTAATTGACAATACGTCGTCGATATATCTAAATGTTGAGTTGAAGGCCACAGTAAGTGTTTCCTTCTTTTCACGCATAAGATTTCACACAAATTCTGCCTTATATGAATACAAAAATAGGTCTGCTAATAACGGAGCACAGTTGGTACCTGTAGGAATTCCAATAGATTGTTGGAAGACCTGGTTTCCAAAAAGCACATAGATATTGTCAATCAGAAACTCCAGCATTTTTTTTTATGTCAACTTCAACGTACTTGTGTGTGCAATCAGAATGTGTTTAAAAAAAATAATTTTGCAGATGACTAATGACCAAGTAGGTTAATTTACGAGTTCCATTTTTATTGAAAAAGCAGCTGTCAACGATATAAAATGCTTGGATTGATCGTGGGGAATGGTTGTGTATAAAGTTAAAAAAATCGTAATTTTTTATGCTGTTGATTTTGGTAAAATCTTGTGATTTAAAATTTTCCAAAAGTCCTTTGGAATTTTTGAGTATCCACATCTGATTCACACCACTTCTTGAATATATTGTTGCACAGTACTCTTGAAGTTTTTCCTTCACTACTGTAAATGTTAGTGAGGGGTAAAGAAAGAGGCTTGGTTGAACATTTACTGGAACCCGGAATATATCTTTGTTTGCAAGGATTCTTATGAAGCTTCTGAATCCAGTATATACATGTATATGGTATTTCAAAATCATTTTGATTCTTCAGCATATTAAAAATATTCAAAACTGACATATGATTTTGAAGAATTTCTTCCTCAGAAAGGGAACTATGAGTATAAGCGTAATCTTCAACAGAATCCATAATATTTATAAAATCCGACGCCAGCTGAAGGATCGGGGTTCCCTTTGGACTTTTTTGAAATAAGTGATTAAAAGGTCTTTATGATTAACTATATCTACGTCACCTGTAATAATGTGTCCAGCATGAATATAGTTATAGGGCGAAGAAGAACATGAACACGATGGAGGATTTTGTTTCAGATACTCGATATCCATTCCATGTAAAGTTTTTTTTTTCGTATATTAATATTATACTATTAGACTATTAGTTATCTTCATATATTTCACACTATCCTTTTGTCCTTCCGACTGTGCTTTTATATTTTTAATTGTCGTAGCTTTCCATACACACACTAAACTGCCTTTTTTAAATTATTACAAAACAAACCATAAATCATACAAAAAATCTGTGTTTTATAGATTTAATGTGAATGTTAACAAAGAAAACATAAAAATAATAATAACATGGATTAATAAACACCTGTACAATAATTAAAAGAAAAAATCAATGGTCATATATCTCATCTGAACCTCTGATATTTTTTTTTTATAATTAGAGGATATTTTTCTTCACAAGAAAAAAGTAAATGTAAATCTTGACAACATGTGAAGTTATTCTTTTGCAAACACCAAAGTTTGGCTTCTTTGTCTTAATCTTTATTGTACACCATATATTAAGAAAACGAATAGAAAACTGAGCTATCAATATCTTTATGTCAAATTCTTATGGAAGTATAGAACAAGAACAAGTTAATCAAACAAGAAATCAAATATATGGAGGAAATGAACAGTATTCAAGTTCTAAGTCCAATACACATGACAAAATAGGATAGAACAAACAATGGCATAGAAGGTCTGGGGGGAATTTCATTGAAATGAATCCGTATATATTTTTATGAATTAACAGTGAATTAGCAGTGATCTCTACTATGGATTATCAAGGTAAAAATTTAACTTTACCACAAACCACAATGAGTATGATGTGAAAAAAAAATCATACAAAGACTGAAAACCCATTAGGAGGGCTAACAAAGAATAATAAAATCTGGAAATAAACATAACATGGAATATTATTAACAATTATAACAAGATACAACATTCCTGTTATTTAAGCATTTTCGAACCGATTCAGGATTTTTGAAAAAAGTAACACAGATGGAAGACAAACGGTATATGTTCGTATTGAATAACATAAAACGTGTGCATAAAAATGTTGCAAGAAAAAGATAATATGGCACATGCACATGTTATTTACATGTAATTATTAATTTGGGGAAAATATGATAGGTGTTTATATTAAATCAATATAATGAAAGATTCGGAAAAACTGATAACACAACTGTTTCTAACTAAAATTCGTGACCATTACAAAGTGTCAAATGGGATTCCAATATTAGACATTGTTGATCATAACAATTAATAAGTATTTTGATTTATCGAAACATCGGTTTGTTCAAGGAATTAGTACCACAAGGAGCACCTGTGGACACCACTCTTGATTCGTAGCTCATGTGATAAAGCTCTTTGGTCCTTTTCATGCAGTCAGTGCCATCTGGAAGGACTTGTTCATTGCTCCTTCGTTAAGGCAGCTAACAGGAATCAGTGGATGAGTCGTCTTCTTTAAATAATTCTGGGGAATGAATTCACAGTAAATTAAGTAAAGATTACGTTAAGATTACGTTTAATTAAGTACTGCCTATATGGAACTGAATAAATGGAAGCCAAAAAAAAAGGTTTATGATATGTTTATGTATTACTTTAGGCACTCTGTATTTCCATTTGAACAAAAGATATATGATAACGAAGACACAAAACGAATTGATTATTTCTTAACGTCTAGAATAGACAACAATATATACATTTTTTTTCAATTAAAACAAATTATACCCAAGCTTTTATATAGATCATTGTACTCAAATAAAAAAACCATATAGAAAATTGGAAATATAAGTTCAGATAAAACTTCTTTAAAAGTATAAACAACTGCATATAGTAGTATTCTCGATATATGTCACTTACTGAATAAAATAAAAAGCAATACATATGTAAATTAAAATCAATTACATATCGTATACATATCTCTTTTGTTTTTTGTTATGCCAAAAAGGGCCTTTATAAAGCATTCTATCAAATTTTAAGGTTCTAAATGAAGCTAAGAATATGTTAAAAGCGTATAAATAGACACTTACATGTGCGTATGTCATGGCGTTTTTTCTTTCTTGATCGGTTGTCATTTTACCAACCCATACAAATAGCTCCTGCTTTGTGTCGAAAATGAAAACATCCTGAAACCAATAAAATTACAAAATGTACATCGAGAAAACTTTAAATACTTTTAAAAATTATTTCAGCACAGGTTAGTAGTTACAAGCAACCATTGCTTAAGCATACAATATTTCTTTAAAGTACTTACATTTCCATCAAAGTCATTGAGCTTAACCGGACCAGTTTTCTCCAGAGAAAATTTCAAATCCCCTTCAGCATCTGACAGTCTACGAATGAGTTATACAATCAACAGTTAGTAAAACTAATGAAGTGATAGAAATAAAATATAGGTTCTCTCATGATTTGTAATTAGACAAGATTTTTTATCCAACAAGTTGAGTGATTTTCATCCCCGAGCCATGGCCAGGGAATAATAACACAACGAATTGGATAAATATCATATCCAACTACAAATCATGTGAGAATCTTTTTATCCTATGTTTTATACATCACTGTTTTACACTTTCTTTATGTAAAACTTTGCTTCATTTTACAACACTCTAACGCAAAACCCATAGTGACGTCACAACTGTGGGATATTATTAGTTATCCAGGTTCATATCCAGGGTGATAAAGGGATAAACATTCAAATTTGAATAAAACGTCTGTATTCCATACACCCTGAGGCCGAAGGCCGAAGGGTGTATGGAATACAACCCGGGGTAAATAACCGTACACCCTTGATTGGACCTGGATAACGAATTTATTTCCTTTGTACCCATAAAAATGCTTTGTAAACATGATTTTTAGCTTTTATCATAGAGAATGTATGCATTGTGACGTCACGTTTTATTTACACCCGGCTCAAGTCGGGTGCACGGATATTTACACCCGACTTTGTAACCAATCAAAGCTCGTGTTACAAGCTAGATAGGAAATAAGAAAAAATATCCATTGAGTCATATCCACGGGATAAAGGGGTAAACATTGGATAAAACGTCTCTTAATACATGAATGTTAGTATACATTTATTGCATGATAGTGAGGGAAATATGAAGATTTATTCAGCCAAGAAAAATCATATTCCCCGAGGGCTTCGCCCGAGCGGAATATGAAATTTCTTGGCTGAATAGGTCATGTTTCCCGAACATTCATGCAATAAATTATTCATTACACCGAAACAAGCACAAATCTTTAAATAAACAAAAAAATTCATATTCGGCACCGCTCTCAAATTCACTTTCATTTTTTTTTTTACGTAAAGTTACTAATCACACGCCGATGAAATAATCAGCAATTTTGTGACGTAAATCAGGCTATTGTAACGTCAAATACTCTCTGGAGTATTATAATTGTATTTTCCTATCAATATGTTTATTCTAGCTCCGTTTGTAAGACTAATAAAAGCCATGAAACTACTTCTATGCAACACTTTGCAACCCACTACAAAGTCTTTATTCTTTATTCTTGTATTACATATTTTCTGACCATAAGGACTTTAATACCACAGGAAATTGTTTTAGGTAAGTTAAAAGTGATGCATTTTAGCTATTAAATGTACACAAGGTATTATAAGGATGTTTGGTGGTATGGAAATGTTAAGTCCAGAGTATTTTTTTTCTCATACTACCTGTACAGTTCCGGTTCCGGGTTGTCGTCTGCCTGATCAATAATGGTCTCCGTATCAAAGTCTTCATCATTGTCGGTCTGGTCAAGGTAACGGAAGAAAACGCCCTACAAACGAGGTAAATCGACATAGTCAGATATTTTAAGTAAAATAACGTGCTTCAGAATAAATACCGAGACGGTAAGAAACTGCATGATAAAAAATAAAGAAGAAAAAATGGTAATAGAACAAATGCTTAAAAATAGCAAACACAATAGCCGTGTGCTCTTTGTCATCATCGGAAAAACGAAAGAAAACCCAAACAAATATTTTTGAAAATGATAGTTTAACAAATACGCCCGTCAATATTCAATCGAACGGTAAACTGTTGCAATATATGTGTATTATCAAATCATTTTCAAGAGCTTTTATTCGTTTCAGATATTGTTCGTTTATAGATTATGCTCAGGTGTGTCGAATCAACTGACACACAAACACTCACTTTTCGATATGGATATGCTAAATGACTATATAAGTAAGGAAAACTGGAGATGTAATTCGTTTTTATACAGGGAAAACATAAAATTAATATTTAAAAGCGACATAGTTTGTAATTCCTTTTGAAGCTGATATTTAAATTTAAAAAAAAAATCTAAAGTACAGGCTTAAAAACCTTGAAATTTTTGTTTTAAAATCTTGAAAATTTATTTCATGTCGATTTGGAACAAAAATTTCAAAGCTTTTAAAGCCCTTGACAAGATTTTTAAAGATTGAATAATTGATTGAAATTTTATTTGGTAATTAGAAATATCAATATTTTTTTAATCTCACGATAAAATTAAAAGTATGAGGTAAATATGAAAATAACGTTTAATGCCATTCCTATCTAATTCTGATTAGAAAACATAATAAAGCCTTGCTTTTTAAATCAGAATATCAAGCTGTTTTCTGTGCTTGTAAAATAATATGCATCCATCAACAACATTTTTTCCATTATCGTCCTTGAAAATATTTTAGTAAAATTTCATTTCAAATGTTTATAAAAATTCTGCATCTGAAATTTCTGTAACAATTAATTAAAAGACTTATACGTTAAGAGATATAAATATCTCATTTTTTACAGTTTAAAGAAACTTAATATATAAATGTTTTAGGTGAACTGTTATAAATATTTAATGAAAATATTGGCAATAGAAACTAGAAATCAAACATCTGCACATTACAATAGATTTGTTTGAATTGACTACAAAAATGGTCCTCATTAAAGAGCTTTATAGAATCTGACAAGGCATTCCATTGAATATCATAGAAAAATATCTTCAGAAAATCTTCTCGATATTACACCATAGAACTACGTATTCCCAATGTTTTGCGTATTAGGAGATAAAATATGCTTGGCATGCAAAATATTACTTTCCGATTTATGTAAAAATACCTATAAATGTATAAAGTTTCTGTTATTCATGAAATGGTTTTGCTTGAATTGTAGGAAAACGTATCTTTATTTGTAAAATAGGACTTACTGTACTCCCTGCCACCTGGTCCAGTACTGTTGCCTTCACGGCTTTACCACTCCTCTCCTCTCTAAGTTGGTTCACATACTGCAATGCCTGGGAAGGTATCAAAATAGACACTTCAAGTAAAAACAACAGCTTATACTCATAAAAAAGAATACTAGTAACTTAACAATCAACAGATATGAATGATTAAATATCTAATTGATAATCATATAGATTTATATGTTACGTAATTTTACAGTGACGACGATATGGTGAGTGTATAAACATTCTACACAATTTTTTTCCAATTAACTTTATCAAATAGGAAGAAAATTAACGGTATTTAAGTTTTAAAGTAAATTAAATCAATACAAAGTAAGCAGAGCAACCGCGGACGTTTAAAATATACGGTATGAGGTAGGATCAGGTGTAATGCAGAGGAAAGCAGACACACCGTATATCGTAAAAACTTACCCATTTTAGTGTGTCTGTAATCAATGACACACAAACGTGTACTTTATATTTGGATATACTAAATTCCTTATTTATAAGTACTTTTTATCGCGAAATGGGTTCTTAATTCGTTTTTATCGTGAAAATAATAATTAAAAGCGAATAGTTTGTAATTGATTTAATGATTTTAAATTTAAAAAAAAACGATGATTTTATACGGCGTGTTGAAATTATCGTTTTAAAATTACGCCATAATTAGTTTCACGCGTATATTTAGGAACAAAAATTTCCAGAAAGGTGTGTTTGAGCCCTGAAATTGACAAGATTTTTCATATCTCTTTAAAATTTTATGGTAATTAGAAATATCAATATATTAATCTCACAATAAAAAAAAGTACAGATTATATATGAAAATTTAAAATTCATCTTGTTATTAGACAAAGCAAGCCTGGGTTTATTTTTCGCACATTCGGTGTAACATACTTAACTACTCGCACACTTCAAATATTCTTTTTAAAACAAAAATCGTTTTAAATATATATAAAAACTTGTCATACTAGATGTACAAGGATAAAATAGAAAACAACTAACAAAACATAAAAGTTATCTTAAAATCAATGTGTTAAAAAACTTTAAAATATTTTGCGTCGTATTCGATATACAGCAGCTGTTCCGGAAATATATTGATAAAGCTATTATATAAAACTATTTCATGAACGTTTTGGTACCTAAAATACGTATTCCCAATGTTTTGCTTGGCATGCTTAATTTTGGCTTTGTAAAAATACCTATAAATGTAATTTACTATAACTATTGTATACTTGAAAAGTGAGATAAATTTCATTGAGTTTACCGTAGGCACATGTAGTAAGTGCATTATTTTACAAGGTTTAATCAGTGTGTTAAATCCACTCCTCTCTAAGTTGGAATATGCAATGTTTTTAGTATCAACCTGACACCGAAGTATGAACTACAGCTTTTCATAAAAAAGATTCTTAATTTTTGAATACTAGTAATTCAACAATCAACAGATATCATTGATTAAATATCTATAATCAGATAGATTTATATGTTACGTAATTTTACAGTTTTGTGACGACGATATGGTGAGTGTATAAATATTCTACACAAAATTATTTTTTTCAGATTAACTTTATCAAATAGCAAGAAAATTAACCGTATTTAAGTTTTAAAGTCAATTAAAGCAATACAAAGTAAGCAGAGCGACCGCGGAACGTTTAAAATATACGGTATGAGGTAGGATCACGTGTAATGAAGAAGAAAGCAGATACACCGTTTATCGTAAAAACGTATCCATTTTAGTTTCTGTAATGATGGTTAACAAACGTGTACTTAATATTTAGAATACTATAGATTCATTATTTTTTTGCGAGTACTTTTTATCGCTAAATTGTTCAAATCAAATGCAAAAATACCCCCACGGAATGGACGGTTGGTCAAGTTGTTTTACAAAGTTTTACCATAAAAATATAAGGAGTGATTTTAAATCTTGCTTATCGCGAAATTACGCGAAAATTAGTTTCATGCGTATATTTAGGAATTTACAGAAAGGTGTGTTTGAGGGTGAAATTTAGAATTCTGCATATCTCTTTATATTTTTTCACAATGAAGAACACCACGATTACTCAAAGGGAGAAAAAATTACAGATTTTCACTGCTGAAAATTTAAAATTCATTTTTCGCACATTCGGTGTTACATACTTAACTACTCGTATACTTCAAATATTCTTTTTAAAATCGATTTACAAATACATGTATATCGTAAAAACTTGTCATACTAGATGTAAAAGGTTAAAATAGAAAACAACTAACAAAACTTAAAAGTTATCTTAAAATCAATATGTTAAAAAACTTTAAAATATTTTGCGCCTAATTCGATAATACAGCAGCTGCTCCGCAATATATATTGATAAAGCTATTATAAAGAACTATTTCATGAACGTTTTGGTATCTGAATAGACGATGATTGGCCGGAATTTTAGCTTTGTAACAATGACTCATGGTACATAATAGTTTTACTATAGAAAAAATTGAAAAGTGAGATAAATCATTGAGTTTTTACATGTAGAAATATATTTTACAAGGTTTATTTAGTGTGTTCCATCCACTTCTTTTAATTGGAACATGCAGTGTTGTTTTTTTTATTACAATCATAACGTTAAGTATTTTTGACACATGCCATATGCAATACAAACACAGAATAGTCTGACTGTTCTAAGTCACAAAACTGACAACATGTGGTTTGAGCAGCGGGGCCACAACGGAAATTCAAATTTTTACAATGCTTTTAATCAAACTTTTTCCTATGAAAGTTGTACATTTCAAATAATGTCTAAATTATGCAGCGGATTGAACGTTATTTCAAGCATCAATTTTTGCATGAAATGTGAGAGAAATTGAGATTCAGACTTTCTTAAAAGCTACCGCAATCAGTGGTTGCTTTGTTAAAATGTGGCCCATAAAAAATCTTGTTTTCATTATTAAATCATAACGTTAAGAAAATTTTGTAAAATGCCAAATGCAATTTTTGTCCATTTTAAAATATACCATGACTTATGTCCCACAACAGCAAACATGTGGTTGATGAAAGCAGGAAGCAAAATCTCACTATAATAGTGATATGTCAGTATTTTAATCACACTTTCACAACGAAAGTTCGATTTTTAATATAGCAACCACAATCCTAGTTCAACGGGGATTGAACGTGATTTCAACTATCAATTTTTGCACACGTGTGAGAGAAATTGAGATTCAGAATTTCTCCGTTTTAAGAAAGGGATTTTGCATTATTAAACTCATGGGCAAAATTTTTAATAAATTCCAAAAATGTAAAGGTGACAATTTGAGTCCATTTTTAAATATATCATGACTTGTGCCATTAACAGCAAGTCTGTAATCTTATGAAATCGAGGACAAATACGGCTGAAAATGTAGCAAAATCTCTTTATCATGGTGATATACCTATTATTAGGCGTTCTGACCTTAACATAGAGATAGGATTTAGAAATATAAAGTAGTTTTTCATAAAGCTAGACATTATCCCTGCTTCTTCATTTTTAAAACTCTTTTTGTCCTACCCTGACACGTTCGTCTTTATTGGCTCCCTCTCCATTGTACTGGTAGATCTGTAAGCCCAAATCCAGGATGTACACGTCTGTGTCATCTATATACTTCTCCATGCGTGGAATCTAAAGTAAAATAAAATGTGGTCATTTTTCCGTATATTTTCATAATAAAAGATTTCGCAGAACTTTCGATATCAGTGAAAAGTATTGTAAAATGATGCATACTTCTTTGACCATAACTCCAAACTTGTCTCCATGGAAATGGAATAGTCTGGGTGTGTATTGCTCTGGCTTGACTTGACGGAAACCACTTTCGGCACCACCGTGAAGATACCTGTATTGTAGAAATTCACTTTACTTTATATTGAAAGGATAATATAAAACACATATTGTGTTCTCATGATATATATATACAGTGAAACCTGTCTAATCTGACATCCAATGGGAGATGAATTTTATGTCAGATTAGACAAGGTGTTGGATGAGACAGTGTACAAAAAAAATCGAAAATAGGAAAGCAATTTAACGTCGGAATTCACAAAATAGGAAAATGCAATCGCCATACCCTTTTTTGGGCGAATTTAAAAAAGACCAAACTTGTTTATAAGTGTGAAAGGGCGAAAAATAATACTGGGGGAAAATAACCTTTTAAACAGTACTTCATGGTGACCATTTCATGCAAAGTATGGACTAAATACATTTAAAAAGATTTTGGGGTTTTCACTTACGTAATCGGGTTGAAGTAGGATTTAAAGAGCTGAGATTCGTGACCTTGAACTTCTCTGTGTTGGACAGGAACATCATCAAGGAAGGTGTCCAGTTCCACTGTCTTATAAGCTGCTGTAGCGTACTCATCCTTATATTTATCAACATGGAAATTTATTGTTTTATTATTTCAATAAATTGAGAGGAGCAAAACATATATCATATATATTTATACAATATATATTAGCAAATAGATTCGCTCATAAAGAAAGAGCGTTACAAAATCAAAAGTCATATTACTTACTAACATCAAAAACTTTATAAAATAAACTTCATGTGCAAGGAAGTGCAAATGTTTAAGAAACTGTCATTATTAATTGTTTCATTACGACACATTTTTAATCCACCTGTAATAAACATTAAATAGCACTGATTTTAAAGCAAGCATTTTTTAAATTCTTACCTGGGTGCTGTATTTTCCGATCCAAAAATGGACATCGTAAAGAAGAGCATCAGAATCTTCCTTCTTGTAAGTCTAAAAATAGTTTTAGTATAAGATAAAGCATCACGTGAAATGTGTTTAAACAGACTTAATATTATGACTATCAGTACAAAAAATACGAAGATAATAAACAGAAATTAAGCTTGAAAATCCATTAAAACAATACAAATTGGGAGCAAAACAAACTCGGACCTCTAAAAATATGTGATCAGGTACCATGGAGGAGTAAGCATCCTCTGCCAACCGGTTACAATGTAGAATACTTCAATAGACTTGTATATACTTACATTCAATACAATGTAGGAATCTCCATCGTAAAATTTCCCATAATCCTCCTCTGGCCATTTAGTAACTTTGAAGTTCTGAATCATAATCAAAATAAAATGGATTAAAATTTATTGAATGCCTTTCTTTGTTGCAATCAAATTCCTTATAATTTGTTATATCAATGAATAAAATGTTTGATATACTTTTTGAACTGTTGTTGAAAACAGTATTATTGGAAATACGATAATAATTCTTAAGAGCGGCTGTATTGGAAATAAATCTAAACAAACCACTATTCGCCATATTTGGATCCCGGGTTTCAATCCTGCTGTCTTCCAAGCCTTTTCACAAGCAGCTGACGATTCTGGAATAAAAATACATGTCACAAGTTAGAAAATGAGAAGACGCCTTGAAGCGTGAAGCATTCCAGTACAAATACTTATCTTTGATATTTTTTTCTTTTTTTATATAAATAAAATATGCTGTAATGAAAAAGATGATGACAATTTAATAATAACAAACAGTGATCGAAATACAAGCGTTTTTAAACGGAACATGAACAAATCCTCGAAAAATAAAAAAGTGGGATGAGGTGCCACGGAAAGAAAAAGGTGCCAAGAAACTCCAGTGGAAGATTGGAAACAATTGTATCTCATCAAACAATTGCATGCACAATTTTTTTTTTTACTTGAGGATTGTGATATTTTATTATGTATGGAAGTATATAAAAAGATATCTTGCACAATAAAAGATATTATAATTTTATTGATCAATAACCTATTATCTAATTACTTTTGGTAGCATGATTAAATGCCATTTTCCGTGAGAAATTTCCTCTTAAACTCTCAATTCAGCTTTACATGTTTTTTTTTACGCAAAGATGAATAGACTAGGATACACTGCTGTAAGAAAGGTAGACCCACCAGCGAAAGATCGATTTTTATTGAACCCTAACAGAAAATATAAAAAAAGTTCAAGGTAAATGAAAAATCCTATGAAGCTCAGCTCTGAATTTATTGACTACGCATGATTTATAAACCCTCAAATCAATTTAGAATTTCTTTGGTAATTAACATATGATACATTTAAATATATAAGCTTGCTCACCTATGTCTGAACATTCTGAATTGTTAAATTTCTCTTACCTTTAGAAATCTTATGTGTTTTATCTTATAAATTGCTGATGCATATACTTCAGTAACTTTGATTAAATCAAATTAATTTTCGAGGGATGATCAAACAGCTCCATGTTCATGCGAATATTATCAAAAGTGAATGTGCTCTGTTTTTTAACATTCAATTCTTAACTATATGTTCCTCAAGTTAGCCAATTTTTTCTCTGCAAAATCTTAACTAAATGTTCTATTTTTTTGCAGTTAGAAGTCTTTAAATAAGTCAAATAGTAGCATGGTTTAATGTCTGTGCGATGTTCTTACGTCAATGTGGCAGTATTATAATAAAACACCCCCGGCTCCTACTAAAAAAGATCTAACCCTCATTTTTGGGGATTTGAAGTGCATTTATCCTTTTACCTTTTTTAAAGTTTAATAACTTTCAATATTTGCAACATTTACATATATTTAACCTTAATCGATATTTCATGTAAAACGTTAAAATCTTTTCAAAAATCAAACCTTACAATACCTTGCTTCTAATGCATTGTAACAATTATATAATGTTTAGGTTTTCTCCCATGCTTAAGAGATTTTTTTTTTCAAAACAGATTTTGGCTACCCCAAAAACATTGCTAATGATGATAATATTTTAGTAATATTAAACCAGTAGAGCATATACGATGATATTTTACTAGACATTGATATGATCAGTATTTAAGGTAGGACACAATAGATAGGCCAAATTCTTCCTCAAATTCAATTTTTCTGAATCTTTTATATTTTGTTCTAGAATACAAAATCTCTCTTATTATTTAATATGAAAGAAATTCAACCAAACATATTTTGCCCACATTGTCTGAAATATGGCCTATCAGACCCCTGTAAGAAGATTGTGAAATCAGACACTCGACTTGAGAGTGAGCCTATTTTAGAATTATCAATTGATTTATTGCAAGTTTTTTTTTGTATAATTCTGATAAAGATAACCTTTTTGTTACTTTAATTAGTAAGTCCTACACTTAAAGTTTTCTAAAGAAAAAAATGTATGATTCAATTTTTACAAAAAAATAACAGAACTAGTGCTAATTGCAACGGGGACCGTTACAGATGTTCCCCAAACGCTCCCCAAGTCCCTTTTGGTGCCATATCCCCTGTGAGTTTCATTAAATAAGGCAACCTCTATGCATTTGAGACTTTAACAATGTTTACCCAGAAGTGTATCAAGTTCATTCAAATTTTAGCACTGCATGCATGCACATGTGAATGCATGTGCGTAATGACCATATCATCTTGTCTACACAATCTATATATTTTAATATACTAAATATTAAAGTATTTAATCCAAAAGTATTCAATAATACGCTCATTCACGTGTATTTTTTATTTTACTCATTTCACGTGCACGCACGTCATACATGAGCATGGTGACGATACCCTCTTGTAGAAGTCCATTACATTATTCTATGATTAAATCCCACCCTGTTTTAAAATACCAAAAGAGTTATATATTTTAAGTTTCACCCATAAAATTGCAGTTCATGTACATGCACGTGTATGCATGTGCATGGTGAGCATGTCTTCTTGTAGAAGTCCATTATATCTATCCATGTTCCAAATCACATCCTGTTTGTTTGAAAAACAAGGGAGTTATAGCTATTTAAAGTTTAACCAATCATTTGCAGCAAATGTGCATGCACGTGTTTTCATGATAATTGCTATATAGTGTCTTGTAGGAAATCCTAATGCATGGCTATGTTCAAAATTTCACAAGATTTCGACAAAAAACAAGGAAGATATTGTGACTTTAGTTTCAGCCAATCAGAGCAAAGCGCACGTGCATGCGCGTCAAGATCTTGCTATTTTGACCATGTCAAATTGTCTATGCTACTAAAATTTTTATATTGAATAAGTTTCAAAGCATTTCATCAAAAATTACAAAAGTTACGCCTATATCAATTAAATTGGTCATTTCACGTGTTGCACGTGCACGCTCTTGCAAGCACGTGCGCGCAAAATGACCTTCGAAAAGAATTTACATAACATGCCTACTGACCCTAAAAAGGTTTTACCTAAGTCGGATGTGTAGTTTACAAGATCACTCCCGGACAAAAAAGTACCCAGGAAGCCTTTCAATAGAAGAAGAAGAAGAAGAAGAAGAAGAAGAAAAATAATAATAAGAAGAAACAGAGTAAAAACAATATGTTCCCCAACTTCGTTTGGGGAACATAATAATTAAAAGGGGTCCGAGAATAAAATGTGTGAAAATAAAGAAAATTGAATCAATACTTTCTGATATTTCGATTAAAAAAATTTAAATGGCAAAAAAACTAAAAGATTCAGTAGATGACGTCACAATCTTTGATCTTTGACCTCTTGATATGACCTTGACCTTTACAGTTCACAAAGAACAGAGACTCCTTATATGTGTATCCCAATATCAGCCCTCTACTATTTATTGAACAAAAGTTACACTGCATTTTATATCAGACTGTTACATTCTTGTTTATTGCACTTAATATAGCGTAAACACATTCCAAAATGTAAGCTCCCAAGTGACCATATACAGGATTCTCCGATTTTTTCACAAAATATGACGCAAGCATGCCAAAACTTGTTATTTTTCTTACAGGGGTCATTCATTGTTGTCAATATAGTAATATTCTTCTTTTTTCCTACAGTATTTTTAAAGAAATTAGTAAAAATAGAATCCATGGGTGTTTTGTACACCTTAAGTCATGAAAACACATGAACAGGGGTAATTAAGAATAAAAGCTAGTTGATGAAAGTCTATAATTAATACATTTTAAGGCAGGCTAATGGTTCTTATTTTTTCCCGATCATGACAAGGAGCACACGGCGGGTGTGATTAAAATATAGCAGGGGATGCTCATTTATGTATGGCATTTAATCCCACTTCCGAAATAATATTTTGGTTTTCCGTAATTGCTCTGCTCCTATTTTGAATTATTTTATAGACTTTTTATCTTGAATACTGTTCGTTATCTCCTTATGTTTAATATCCAACAGTTCTAAATTAATAATCTATAAAATCTCACTCTTAACATCTCGTTCTTCTTTTGATCCGAACAGTGCAAGGTTCGAGTCCTTCCAGTCATACTGTTTCTGTTTGATGAGCCCTGAAACACAAGACAATTACACTGTAAATTTACTTTCATGTTGCAAAGACATGTTGATTGATAATAAGCACAGACGTACAAATAGTACTATAAGACAAGGAAATTTAAGTTACTTTGATGTGCAATTATTTTGTAAAAATATCATATAAGGAAAACTGAAACACGTCGATGTTACTTTTGACAATAAAACAATTGCTTTGATCATTGTCTCTTCTTAAAACTTATCTCGACCCTGCCAAAAAGGCCATTTTAAATGACAGTTTATCTATATGTAGTGAACCCATGCACAATTGACATTTAGGTATACATTAGTGTATGGAAATCAAATGGTATATGAATGTCTTTCACCATCTTCCAAATATTTCATACATGAAACAATTTTATTTGGGAAGCTAAATGTAGAAAAATACTAGTAACATTGTCGAAATTTGATGATAATTTGAATATCAACAGCAAGCATTACCTATTGACGCAAGACTCAAAATCAAATCTATTACTAAACTAGAAGAGCAATCCACTACTCAACTTTCATGTAACTTATTCCAGTTAACCTAACCTACAGAGGAACAATGTTCTGAAAAGATAGTTAATATGTCCCTCGAGAAAACGATCTTTCAAGAGCAACAGCTGCATGTATTGATAAATTGTGTAATTGTACAGTTTGTATTTTTTATGATAATCAAAATAAAAATGCGGGGTTTATTTTCAAAGCCTAAATATTGAAAATTTGGGTATTTTCCCGAGTAACTGTTTGACATGATTTGAAAACTAAAAATGGTCAATCAAACAAGTAAATGGAATATTTAACATTATCGAAACCGTATGTGTTTAAAAGTAATTGCGAGTTTTAAACAGTAAATAACACTGGAAAGTATGTAAAGTTGTATCAAATGTATTATATAATTTATATAGCAGTACTTCATATAAATTCAAAATAAAATTTCCATAATTTACATTCTTCATAAAATGTTCGTTGGAAAAAAGAAACTTTTATAATTTTTAAGATCTACCTTTAAAAAAAGTTCTTACCTGTCATTGTTCCAGCTGGAAGTAACAAAAAATCAATAGATAAAAATCAATACACACAGTTTATTCACGAACTACTTTGCAACATGTGTCATTGTGTACACCTCACCATCGTTTATATCTAACGACAAAGTCTTTGTTCCGCATCACATGGTTTCCACACGGATGGTATCGTGACACAGCCCGAATCCATGCCCATTTTAAAGTATTTTTATGAAACTATTTCAGGCACATTCAATCTTCTTCTAATTAACAAATATTTAATAATCTTAGACTATCATTTTTCTTGGAAAAATATGAGATATTTTTTAACATATGATAGGCACAAGTAGTAATAGTTCAAATGAAAAATATAATTAATGTTTGAAACGTAAAATAACGAAAAAATTCTGATCTGAGCAAACACGGACATCTGAAAACATCAGAGGAGGAAACAGGCTTAGAAATCATTAAACACACTCATACTTTAGTCAGAATTCAATTATCTATAAATGTGTATTACTTGTGAACTGAAACTCCTATATTTCATATAACAGTACTCCATTTGTGCATAGTTAAGGGCAATTTAATATTTGTGTCTGCTTCGTTTACCTATCATATCAACACAATAAAAGTAATTTTTTTGTTGGTTTCTTTTTTTTTGCCTTAAGCCTACGTTAAGGATATCCGATCCTCAGCCAGGAAGGATAACTCCAAATATTAGTATTTAATTTGAAATGCATCAAAATGAAGCTTAAGGTAAGTCACTCGTCAGCTTTTTAGAGAAGTCCACGCAGAAGCTTTTACTTCAAAACTACTTATCAAAATTCAATTTTTATAACATATTTAAATTTAACGATGTAAATATTTTAACATTCAATGAAAAAACTGCTCAAAAATCTACAAAGAAGCCATATTTATGAGGAACTATTTCTTTTGGTGGAAGGATATTTAGCAGAAAATTCTGCAAATCTGCACATTTATAAAATTTAATGTAATGGAAATTTAGCCTCACATACTTTTACTCGGAGAATATTTTCCGTTTTGATATTGCTAAAAATATTTAATATAGGTCTTAATTTATATTTTTAGACTAAATTTTACGCCTTCCCTCAACAAACTTTTCCAATAAATGAAAATATATTAAAGAAGTCAAGATCAAATTTACACCATTTTTTGCCTGAAAATCACATATTTTGACAAATATTTTAAAATTAACATCACTGACCCCTCCTTTTCCTTTCATTTTTTTAAACTACTCGATACTTGTGACAGATCAGCACTTAAGTCGTAAAAAGTTTGATATAAGAAAATTTTTTATTGCCTATTCAGTTTTTTAATACCCCAAATATGTTATTTTTAGTGCAAAAAGGTCACACAATAATTAACGCGCATTAATTTGCAAGATTTGTTTAATGATAAATATTATTCAAACTATTTTACGTGAAATAAGATTATATTTATTGTCATGCTTACATCTGATCAAATATAATAAGGGTTAAAGTAATTAACCAAAGAGATGAAATTTAAGTGCAAAAAGGTCAAATTAAATGTACCGTAGATCAGTAGGATGAACACTGACCCCCTATTTTCTTTGCGATTTTGAGTTACACTTTATGAGTACTTATCCAAAATATACTTCTCAAAAAATCCTTGATTTAACAAATTTCAGGAGTGACTTACCTTAAAAATAAATTTTTCATGCAACAATTTTCATTTTATTCATCTTTATAAGATTCAAAGTTTTTCGAAGTCTTATAAAAGGTCTTATAAAAGTTGACATTTGCACCCTATAAAAGGAGAAAAAATTAACACCGTTTTAGAGAAATTTTCTTGAATCCAGCCTTAGATACCAATGCTTATTATCATGATATGATATAAGAAGTGATTTGTGGTGTTTTGCTATGATAGCAAAATCCTTTTACACTATGCGTTATAGAATACATGACGGAAATAGAAGACAAAAAATACTAAATAAGTATATAAAAACCATGACAATTTCTTTGAATGCCTGGATACATACCGCTTTTCAACCTAAAATATATTTGTTGATCAATTTGCAATTAGAAAATGCATTGCTGATATTCCAATTCGCTTTTTCAGCAAAAAATATTGGAGATTTGACAATTTTCCCTATATAATATGATTAACTTTAATCTTTAACTTTAAAGAAATACTGTGGATAAATTTACATACCTTCATGGACTTAGAGACACTTTTATGAGTATTTTTGATAAGTTAACTGTTAATATTATAATTCTGAGGATCGGATTACCTCAAAAAGAGGAAGATGAAATATAAAGATGATAAATAGTATTCAAGCAATACAAAATAGGAGTAGAGCAAACAAGGATATCTAAATCTTCAGAGGTGGGATCAGGTACCATAGAGGAATGAGCATCTCCAGCTGAAACGGTCACGTCTGTCAACTACTCCTTACAGAAAACAAGAAAAATCCTTAGACAAATTAGTGTGTTATAATGGTCTGACTGTTAGTATGAAACAGGCCAGTCATCTTTTGACCAAATGAAATACTGTATTTGATGACAATTAATTGAGTCGGCCACAAAATTTGCGTTATGATTTTTACAGAGACTGTTGATATTCTCATTTCATAAACTTGTTTGTCAATAACTTCTTTCGTTTTTGAAAATGTTTGTACAATGAGTTTATTTATCGAATAACGATAAGAGACCGAAACTGTTTCATGCTTTCGTGGGCAGGTTTCATAGGCGTCACCTGTCACACCTCCAATGTGGCCTTTATCTTGATCGAAAACAAACAAAGACAATCAATTCGGTATCAATTAAGCAAGAAATTTGATAAACCATATGTCAACTCATTTTTGTTGACGGTAGATTTTCAAAATTGGTGATTTGAAATGTAATAATATTGAGTCCTTAAACCTCTTCACTTTTACCTATCAGTATTCTATTTTGTTTGAGATATTGATTAAATTAAGGATCGTTTATTGTGTTTTGGATTAACTATGAGCAATAAACACCATATGCGAATTATATGGTATATTACAACATACATAAGGTAAGCTGATGACTAAAAAGTTGAAAATATTGAGAGAACATAAAGTAATTCAATACAAAGGATCATTAATACGTACAAATTGAAAGCTGAGGAAACAAAGACAACTTAAATCATCAGAGATGGGATCAGGTGTCATTGAGGAACCAGCATCCCATACCAACCGGTTTCAATCACTGTGTGCTCCTTGTCAAGATCGGTAAATCTGAAATTTCTGCAAAAAGTTTACATGAGAGCTTTACAATGAATACGAAATTGTTAGTTGGAATTCGACTAAATGAAAATTTGCATTTGCTGACAAGGTCTTTGTAGCTATTTTCACACTAATTGTTAGTCCATTATTTAAAGTACGACTTGACAATGATTTTTGCCGTGATTTCCTGATCATGACAAGGAGCACACAGCCGATGTGCCCTGTCAGCAGGGGATGCTCATTCCTGCATGGAACCTGATCCCTTCTCTGCGGAGGTCTGTGTTTGCTCTGCTCCTATTTTGTACTGTTTCATGGACCTTTATATTGACTTCCGTTCGTTATCTCCATATCCTTCATCTACCACTTGACTCGTTAAATTGATGAATGTAAAAGATACCGCTGATATTTTTGTTTCACGTATGTAGCAGTATACCTTCATCACCTACATACGAAATTTAAAAAATCTCAGTTGATTCGATACGCAAGAGAATGCTCTTGTATTAACAATTTCTAAAACAAGGTAAATTATTGACAAACAAGTTGATGAAACAAGAATTTCAGCTGTCTCGTTTAAAGTCATCATTTCGTATGTTCTATGGTCGACACAATGACCTTGTCAGCAAACGCAATTTATCATTGAGTCACGTTTTTCATACTAAGTGTTAGTCCATTGAACTGATATTTCCGTTATTCCCCGATCATGACAAGGAGCATCCGGCGGGTGTGACTGGTTGACAGGGGATACTTACTCCTCCATGACACCTGATCCCACTCTAATGTTTTGGAGGTCCATGTTTGCTCTGCTCCTTTTGTGTATTGTTAATGTACTTTTGATCTCGGATATTGTTCGGTATCTCCATATGTTTCATTTCACCAACTTGAAGTTTCTTGTCAATTTTTGGCCTCGTTTCGCAAAAAGCCCATACGTAGAGCAAACCCGTGTACATCGATTCATTTGGAGACAATACCCTATATACATACATAAAGCCATATTGCTACTGTAAATTACGCGTAAAAGGTTTACGATAGAAAAATCAAACTCATAAAGATCTTCATAAAGTTTTGTAAAATTACAATGAACGTCTATTTTTAGTCAAAAATCCAACTTTAAAAAGATGTAACAGACACAGGAAAAATGGGGAAAATAAGGCTAATTATGGTGTAGAATTTTATTATTTGAATTTCGTTTATTATGTTCATTTATGATATATAAAGCAAAAATATTTGACATTTAAAAAAAAAAATGATGGCAAAAAAGTTTCAAAATTTGATATCAGTGCTGTCTACATTAACAATTATAAATTTTGTCTTGTTTAGACTAATTATTACACAATCATTAATGTATAAAAGGACACCCCCAAAAAATGAAATACTTTTTGTCCTCCAATAAGCACACTGGAAAACTTGTGTAATAGTATCCTGTTAAAAAATGGAGCATGATAAACATCAATCAATGTTTTAAGGGGCAATATCCCTCTATTCCAAATTTATTTCACTACATTTTTTTTTAAAATCCAAAACATTGATTTTCATCAATGACAAAAGCATTAGATTCAAATGAACAGTGGCTTAAAGTATGAAGAGTTTCTTACTTTTTCAGACATGAATATTATGTCAAATCATAATGTGAAGAAAATTTGATATGATTAAAAAAACCAATAATTTTTTATCCCACAATAAAATTAGAAATATGAGGATAACATGAAAATAATATTCACTCTCATACCTATCTAATTCTCATTAGAAAACATACTGAAGCGTTGCTTTTTAAATAAGAATATGAAATTGTTTTCTATACTTGTAAAATAATACACATCCATCAACAAGTGTTATCTTTCCATTATTGCCCTTGAAAATATTTTTAGTGAAACAAAATATTAATTAAATGTTTATAAACAATTCTGCATTTGAAATTTCTTTAACAAG